GGGTCTTATATCATTGACAATGCGAACTGGGTCGCTTCGCAAATCAACACTGTCCTGACTGGATGGACAGTGGAAGGGCTGCAACGCACCATTTCATGGCTTATGGACTGGCCAGCTGGCTTGAAACTGAACAACGAACTTGCAGCATTCCTTGGTGACCTGTTCCTTTGGGTCATTGAGAATTGGGCGGCCTGCATTGCTAACCTACAACCTTATCTTCCTGCTGTCATCTACATTGTTGGATGCTCAAGCTTTGCAGGCGCGAGCATGCCCATTGCCTTGTTCTCCGACCTTCTGTCAATCCTGACAGTCCACATTTACTCCTTCTATATTGCCTCCGCACGCATTTTCAACTGGCAACTCACTATTATCATTTCCCTTTTCCATCTCTTCCGTGGCAAGAAACGCAACGTCCTGCGCAACCGAATTGACTCATGCGATTACGACCTTGACCAACTTCTCCTTGGAACCATCCTCTTCACTGTCCTGTTCTTCCTTCTTCCTACCGTTGTGGTATTCTACTTGACCTTCGCTTCGGCCCGGATGTTAATTATCTCAATGAAGGCCGCGCTTGACACCTGCCTCGCATTCTTAAATCACTTCCCACTTTTTGCACTGATGCTCCGCGTGAAAGACTCGCAACGTCTGCCAGGTGGTATCCGATTCGAGCTACGGGATGAACCAGACAAGAACTCTACTAATAAGGACTCGACTGCGATGACCTCATACATTCACCTCGAGGTATGGTTCTGTATAGCCAACCCTTGCGCCTAGATACTAACACATCTTAGTCCATCCCTCTGCCACTACGTGCAATGTTCGACCAGTACTTCCAACTAGGTCACAGACTCCGGAAACACTACCTCGCACCCCGAGTCATCTTCTGCCTCGTCACTGGCCGCTTCGTACCACCCATCCACCGCCGCAACCTCTATAGCATGCAATACAGCATGTTACCTGCCCGTCGGGCCGGCATGGCAGAGGTGTGGGCATTACTCACGCAGACCAAGAAAGGCAGTGGTGGGAGCAGTGGCGCTGGCTCTATGGGTGGGGGCATTGGTGCCCTTCACCCGATTGCTAAGGTCCCGGCGAATTTTGCGCAGGGTGATATGCGGCGACGGGGTCATCGCTAATACCATGTACCACCTCACGGCATCTTCTTCTGTACATAATATCTATAGCATATTACTCTTTTCGCAGGTATCCTTAATTACATGACCGCAAAGACTTATTCCATAGTAGGAGGACCAAAAATTTGGTGAATAGAAGAGATACGTGTATCGGTATATGAACATGTACAGGACGTCACGAAACTGTTGTCACCGCTTGCACTCTTTTACTGTTTCTCTAGACCTAGGGCCTAAGGTAAACTTGTACACCTAGGTAGTTTATCCAAAGTAACCTGTCAGTGGGGTTTGTATTGTTTCTTACGGAGAATACATAGCGCCCAAGTGGAGTCTGCGTTCGCTCGTAATGTTAAGTCCGAATACACCTGACATCTTCTTACCCTACTTCCTAAACTATCTCCCTTGGAGCATCTTGTGCTAGCTTGATCGTAGCCAGCATCAGATCGCGACCTTTATCACTTAGGTGTATATTTGAAACAGCCGCTGGGCTATGCTCTTAAAGTGCAGTAACCGCGTCAACGCGTGCTCTTATCTGAGGAGAACGGGAGGTGATCTAGCTAGGTATCGCATGTTGCGCTTGATTTGAGTATTCTGGCCCAAGTCGATCGGCTGTCTAAAATACATCGACTAGGGGACTGCATATGACCTACGATGGTGAAAAGCCCGAGGAATCAATCAAAATCAAATCAAACCATGGTCAATCTTGTGCCAGTGCTTAATTGAGTCCACAGCTTTCTTCAGTGTGCTCCCTGCATCGGAAATTACCTTGCCGAAGCCATCGACTATCTGTGAGGAGATCAACACCTTTTCTTGAAAATGTGCTTGACGAGATGTTCTCCTTCTCGCTTGATTCGTAAAAAAGTATCCACTGCCCGCTGCAAAGCCGTCTTCGGTGGACTTTTCCCATCGTGAATAGGCCTTCGGACCAGCCTGGTCGAGTTGCCACTCCTCCAGGACGCCACTCATATCTCTGATCTGAAAATAATACAATCTGCAGCCTTAGCAATTCCTCCAGAGGAGGAAGTGGACCATGCCAATGCCGATTGAAGACACTTTTGACCCACTCCGTGCAATCCATTTCACCAGTAATAGTTCGCAAGGCGTGCTAGGGACAGAATATATCAAGGCGGGCTTCACTCCTGGGATATAATGGGTCGAGCACGGCTGTTAAAGTGAATGGTGTTTGCGTTTAGGCTTCACACGGAGCTGGCTCTTCTGGCATCCAGACCCTCAAGATCCTAAGGGTTCATTGGGCATGTTATATTCTGCCACCGAGCGGGCATATGCCGTGTACAGTATAGACTCGTAGCCCTTCCGAACGGTCTGTTTTCTAGGCCGTAATGCCGAGCAAGTCGGATAACAAGGTTAGCATGGTATACGAGAAGGGTTGCCAATTGCACCAGACTCCCGTCATCATGGCGTCCATGATTCCATGGAGTATCCGTTACAAGGTCACGGAGCGTAAAAAGAGGGCAATAGCCAACATGCTAAGTGCTATGATAAGCAGGTTCATGAGTAGTCCACAGGTCAGCAAAGCAATATAAGTCACTGTTTGCACTTTCTAGTACCGAATAAGCAAGCCCCCAGGATATCACTCAGTGGCAGAGAGACGCAACCCCTCGCCAGATCCTCAAAGCTCGTGTTATGGTGTTTGACTCGTTCGCATTGCTTTGGAAGATTCCAGGTGTCTTGGCTCGCCAATAAAAGTACGAGACATGGCATGCCCAGGTGGTAAGTCTGTACGGTAACAATGCAGGAAAACTGATGTCCCGATGCTACTCCTAATATAGATTAGAGGGCCTTGGCATTGGGTTCGAGAAACAACCATTTAAGTGTAAGTGGTGACAACAGTTTCGAGACGTCCTGTAAGAGATGAGATATGAGAACTATAATGTTGCTGTATATACCGGATTTTAGGCCGTGGCCGCGACTTGCCCGATTAGGGTGCCGCCGCTTTAGGAGGGCGCTCAGGGTCATGCTCACTGAGCGGGTTCCAGCTCAGCGGGACCCATGAAAAGTTCAACGGGACCCTTGACAATGATGACTAATGATGGGTCCCGTTGAGCTCTATCTCTTCTCCTTCTTCACTATCCCTATTTACTAGGTATACCAAATCCTGTTTCTAGCACGGGTAGATATCAATTTATATCTGCGATCCCCGGATACCGGACATAATACGCCTGCCAGTCATCAATCTCAGTCATCTTGTGGAATCCCGGAAGCTGCACAATACGCCAGCGTATGTTCATCCAGCCCACGTCATCCTCAGTACACCCTTCAAGGGGCTCGAACTCCTCAGGCTCTGATATATCCTCGTCCTCAGAGTCCGCTTCAGGCACATCTGTCCATTTCCATTCAGCATTAACCATGCGGACATGCCCTAATTCATATTCTTCGAACCCTCCCAAGGGGCTGTTTAGAACGGACTCCATAGCCTCCTGGTCCACGGTGATGAAGAAGCGGTATCGGCCGCTCGTTGGAGTGTAGTCTTCGCTCACGCCCTGTTCCTCTTTTAATGCAGTCTTCTTCCACTGATGGAAGTGCTCGCGTAGGGTGGCAACCGTGGCACCCTCAAAGGAGGGGTCTTCTAAAACCGTTGGGGCAAATGTATCGAGGAGATCAAGGCCACTGTCTTCCTTGAGGTCTTCTGAGACGGCGCCGACTATGCGAGCCATGAAGTTCTCCCAGTCAGAGTCCTTGTGGTACGTACAACGAAAGATCACGAAGCCCCAGGTTGTGAATCCATCCTCCTTGAGAAGTTTCTCGACTAGGTCAGCTTGATTCATAGAAGAATACATTGTGGGATCGCGCTTTGAGCGAGAGGCCATTGTGGTGGATGTTGAGAGAGTCCTGATTGTGTTGAAATGTGATGTAGATAAGGAGTTTGCGAGACGTGGGGGATGCTCGAAGGGAAAGCGAAAGAAGGTCGGGCGAGTAACGCTTGGGCGGGCGAATTGGCTGTAGATCGGTAGATGGCGTGCAGTTTGAAGTATCCTCCTAGCAGTCATGAGTGCGAATGCAGGCCTTGGTTCTGTTGAGATGAGGATACGTAAGGGAAAGAGGTGGGGGCTATGGGGTATGGTCTAGGGGTAAGTAGGATCTCTTAAGTTTGTAGAGATTTAAAGTGGAGATGCGAGTATTCCCCCAAACGCTTTAAATTGCTTAATTCTCGGGTTCCTAGGATGATGAAACACTACGCCCGTCTGGGCTAGGGGAGAAGTGAGAAGTGGAGGAGAAGTGATCGGAGCCTCGGAGGGCCGGCCCGGGAAGGGATTCGCGGTCCGTGTTATCGGGCGGCTTGGAGTAAGTTCGATACGCGCGCTATGGTCATAAATCAAGAGCAATTTCTTCTACCGTGGATACTCTAATCATTTAGTCGCAATATTACCCATAAGACTAGGCAGTTACACCTTGGTATAATGTCTTATCGACTTACACCACACTAACTTCATATATACGTATCTATAAAGAAACCCCCACACACACCGAGTACCCGACTCCTAGATACTCATAGTCCGATCTAATCGTAGGATTCCACTTGTATAGTTTAGCAAAAGTAATACTATACGCTGTCTCGATCTTAGCGCATGAATCGTTCGACACTACCGTGTAATACTAGTTGTAGTTCGACGCAATTCCCGTCTAAGTGGGTGCCCCCTTTGTAGTGGTGTAGAACTTCTCGCATCCTGACATAGTGTCGGTTGGGGTAGGCCCTATGGAGGAGGAGGAGGTGGTGGTGGGGGTTTAGGTGGCAGTTCCACTGGCTATAGTCGTTGCAGCTATAGACCTAACACCAATACAGATAGCGCGGTTATCCGTGGCATTTAGGTTGGCATAGAGCGTAGTGTCACAGTCTCCTTCCAGCTAGCTATTCTAGGACACAAGGTCGTCCATAGTCAGGCTGTAATCGTAAATGATGTCGTCGTAGGTGTATACTAGTATTTGATTAGTATTAGCTCGATTGGGGAGGGCCAAGTCATACCGTTAGAGTAAGACAGGTCGACGGAGGTGAAGCAATTGTAGTTAGATGCCGTTCCAGCCTCCATAGCATTCATGGGAAGACAGAGCCCACTATCAGTATCCTCCGTCGCTACATCTGCGTCAGCCTAATCTATTGTTCGAGCCAGCGGTACTTACAGGCAGTGCTATTTTCATACCGTAGGATACAGTAGCTGTTTTCCATGTTGAGCTCATAGGTGCTTGCGTTGTTCACAAGACTTGGATTCCAAGTGACCATTTGTTTCATTATAATGCCCCAAAATGTCGCCATCGCCACACACTCAGAAGTATAGTTGGAAGGATTTTCGTAGTCATAGTAGTCTAGGATAGTGCCCGAAGCGGTGGGAAGGAGCGCCGCTCCCGTATATATATAGCAAGGATCGCTTGTGGCCGTAGGAATGTTAGTATTCACGTTGGTGAAGTTAACGGGCGTGACGGTGATAGGCAATACTCTAGTCACCGTGTAGTTTGCGTAGCTAGTGATTGAACCAACGGCCTTGACATAGTATGCCTCGTTAAGCAGGAGGTTTGTGTAGTTTGCGTCGATTTCTGGGTTTAGGAAGTAGAAGTCGGTAAGGGAGATAGAATGGGCGAGAGAGACCTTAGTATATTCATCGCCTTTTCGAACCTAGTACAAATAAGCAAAGACCCAACTTGGATGGAAGGATCACTCACCGTATACCACTAGGTGGAGTTACGGTTGCTATTGTCTATAGCATTTGTTAGGACCGCTGTAAGGCTAGTGGCTACTCTAGTTGCGGTTGCGCTTGAGTCGGATCCACTAGCAGTCTAATTCAAGTAGCCACTCGGGGGACTGTAAAGATCAATATTCCGGACTTTCAAATTGAGATTGAAGCGAAATCTACTCACCTCACACACACCTTATATCTAATAAAGAAAATCGCATTTAGACAGAGGGAATTGATATTAGGGTTCTAGGAGAAGAACTACGGAAGAGTCACATTCGCGAGGCCGCCGACGACACTATCTCAAGTGTCATCAGCCTGCGACATGCAAGCAATGACCAACCTTTATAATTCTTCCCTGGTATGAATCAGCGGCCCCCGGAGAAGATGTTTTGGAAGCGTGCTAAAAGTCGCCAGTTCTGCAGCGAATGTTTCCTAGAACTATATCGGCTTCGACTCCTAGATCCCTGGCTGGCATCGAGCAACTTTACTGATTATCTGATTGGGCAATTTCATTCTGTACAAGAAAACTGCTCCACAACATTGCCGTATACTACGTCTTCCTCCACCTTGTATATTGGTGCACAGACAACCGCAACTGCAACTGCAACCGCAACAACTACGGATGCTGCCACAACAACCAATACCGCCACATCTACCGCAGTTTGTCTAGGACAAATCGTGCAGCCAATTACCAATTGGCTAACATGCGACGACCTTTCTGACACGTAAGTAGTCAGCTTCATGGCCCTGCATTTTAGGGGGAAAAGGAAATTTGAATGAACAACGACTGATAATTTTTGACAGATATAACGTCTCTACGGGAGATGCACGCACGGCGACAGGAGACTACGATTGCTTCTTCGATACTCCTGCCTGCCTGCCCTTGCCGTGCCAGATATATGCTGCTTGGGGGTCACCGAGCTGGTAAGAATACCCAAGAACTCTGCCAAAATGTTCAATATTCCAAGGTCGACAGCGGTATGTGCTAATATTCAATACTATCTGTTAGTACATCTCTCGCCGAGCTTGCCTCCAACTCCACCAACAACGTTTCCGACTCTCAATTTTTGGCATGGAACTCTAACATTCAAGGCAGTTGCGGCGGAGTGGCCAACGACCAGCGCGTTTGTATGGAAGCCCCTGGCGGCACATGGACTACTCCATCAGTTACAATTACAGCTCCCACGGGCACTGCCCTCTACTATACGACCGCAACACCAGCCTATCCAACACAGAGCGGTACCACGGAGAGCTGTGGCAAGTATTACCAGGTAGTTTCAGGTGACGACTGTGCTACTGTGAATCTCAGATTTGGACTTAATGTCACACAGCTGCAGTCCCTGAACACCTACCTTGATGACAACTGTTCCAATCTCTGGCTCAAATATGATGTCTGTGTGGCACCGGTCTCTGCGCCGACTGTCTCGTCTGATGGGTCTTGTGGTGTGGGTGTCACTTGTGCTGAAAGTGGATTTGGGAAGTAAGTATCATCCTATCCCGTTTCTTCTGGAATAGATGGCGAAGAATGCAATTTCCAGAAAATATGGGCTAACGCAAATTTCTTGTGTTAGCTGTTGCTCATCTGCAGGACAATGCACGGATGACTGTGGCTCGGCCGGAAATAGCACTGTTACCACTAATGGTCTCTGTGGGCCCGATAATAGCTATATGACATGCCCCGGCTCTGAGTTTGGTGACTGCTGCAGTAGTAAGTGCTTCCTCCCTCATATTCACTCCTGCTTCTTGCTTGGCTCTGCGTGAAAGGACTTTGAGCGACCATCATGGCTGACCAACTGCCCTGTTCACCTGAATAGTTTTCGGATATTGTGGCAATGGAACTCAATTCTGCGGCGCAGGAAACTGCTATGCTGGAAAATGTGACACTGACAACGGGGGCCCATCAACCAGCGGCGAATGCGGACCTCTGTTTGCTGGCAACAAAACGTGTACTGGGACACAGTTTGGCGATTGTTGTTCGGTCAATGGATACTGTGGTAACACCAACGATTACTGTAGTCCCCCTAACTGTTACTCTGGGGCTTGTTTAACGACGGGATACACCTCTACGAATGGAGAATGTGGCCCTAACTTTGCGAACAACATGACATGTGTTGGATCATTGTTTGGTGATTGTTGCTCTGTGGCTGGATATTGTGGCAACTCGAGTGACTATTGCTCGGGTACAAATTGTTACAGTGGCTCTTGTGTCTCTTAGAGGTAGCATAGGAAGCCAATTAATGAGCCTTCTAAAGCTGCCCCTGCTTCAAGCGAACACGAACACCGTAAAATTGTAGCATAGGGTGCAATTAAGAGGTAAATCATCTACTGGCACATCTTTTCAAGATATTCCTTATTTCCCATCCTGACTGTAAAGTATGCATCCTGAGATACCGAGCAATATACATGTGATTATACAGGCACTGCGGAGGCAAGAGATATAAGTACTATATACAGGCTACTCGTTTAGCCTAGCGGAATATGACACACATAGTGGCTGTATATCTTCTAGCACAACGCTTAAGACTTATAGAAATCTCACCAGCTTGGTGCGATGGAATATTCATTCCAGGCACCCCTATCCGCATCTCCGAATTTATCGATCCCTCCCTCCACACCATCTTCACCCACTGTCCACACACCACTTTCAACCAGCACTATCCACCGTTCAAACAGTCTCTCCAATCTCTGTGATCGCCGTTCACCCCCAAACGGATGGAAGCAGCCATGTTGAAAGAGTTCCGTGAATGAGCCCGAGGGAACTGGTCTCCCATCACTCATCCTAGCCCCGTCCTCATCTCGGAAGAAACCAGGTCGTAATGCAAATGGAAGCACGAGACGGAAACCTGCCTCCTCCATATCATAATCTCTTCGGCGTACAGGTTCACTGTAGAGTCCAGTGGGAACAGGATCGTTGTCGTTCATGCTCACATTGTCATGTGCGGTGGAGAACAAGCGGCGAATCTCGAGGTTGAGATCCACTAACCGGTCTGGAGATGCGAATAGTAGGACCCCTGGGATACTATCCTCTTCATGAGGTATGTGGGTAAACCTCTGGCGCCTCGCAAACGCCTCCTTATCATGCGGGACCTCTAGCCCAGGTGCAATGAATTTGAAACGCGGAGTTTTAACTCGTGTTAAGAGCGACCGAATAAAGCAATCCTGCGGCACGGCCGCTGCGTCCAGTTCTGCACTGGTAAAGAGTGGTGCAGAGATGGGCAGAAGTGAGTCAGGAGGCACTCGAGATTCGACTGCAGCCGAGTAGCGCTCTATCGCAGCTACAGTGCTATCAATCTGGGCATCGCAGTAAGGGAGCCACGACCACAGATAAAATTGCGATCTATTCGTCGGGGGATCACCAGAAGGGAGTTCTTCAGGAAGCCCAGGAACAGCTTTACCAATCTGAGTCATATAGATCCATTGGGTGAGAATAGTCTCCAGCGGGAACCACATTTCCTCGTGCTCGTCAATAGGCTCCACACTTTCCATATTGTCTGTAGTCATTGGGAACGAGGCCCGATTGAGCTGCTGGTCATAGACAACGCCGAGGTTATGCCCGCCCAGATCCGCAATAGTGCGATAAATTAATACAAATCGCTCCTTGTTCTCCTCCATCTCATTATCATCGATAAAATACTCGTCGCTGAGCTCCATCACAAGACCGTCAATCCAATAGAAGAAGGGCGGCCTAGGATCATAGATTAAATCCAGAAACTTGTTAAGCGGCACATCAAGACGCTCCCGAATAGCTTCGACCTCCTCGTTTGCTTCATGGAAAAACCACTTTTCGCTGGCTAGCGCATCAAGGTCGGGCGTGTCTCTTCCGTTGCGGGCCATCCAGCCATATGCGACCAGGTAATTGTGTAGTCTGGCGCAGCGCTCATAGTCGAGAGTGCCGTCATCATGGGCCGGGTTGTCACCGGACACTAGAGCGTCTTCAATATCTAGGATCTGTTGTGGGGTGGCGTTCATGGTCATGGTGATGTCCCTGGCTTAGCGTCGGTTCGCCTACTCATCCGGTCTGAGCCGGGGGCTAAATGGTGGGTCGTAAAATTAAATCAAACCTCGCGTGCAGTAGATCGATTTCACACTCCGTAGTTGAAAGTATGGTCAATGGCCTTGACGAAGATTTGAATTTTTGGGGATGGGATCTTTTGATACTGCCAACCCGAGTGGTATTGGGCTATCTATAATCAGGCTGATTTGTAGAAGCCTAGAATAGCAGAATATTTATCGCAACACCAATATAAGATACCTTTCATAAACTCCGGATCGCTCGGTTGATCCACTAGCTTCGGTTAATTAATACCTCATTATTAGTGCCGGTGGTTTTATCCATTTTTCGGATACCTAGACGTGGTGGGGCTTTATGTAGGATACCCATGTTATACTAGGCTGAACCCTAGTGTAGAGCTGAAACCACCCTGTGTAGACCCATATGGCGTATCTGCAAGTATGCTGGAACAATGCACTTAGCGTATACTGCCCAAAGGCCTTCTTTGTAGGGCTATCTACATTTCCTGTAAAAGGATGGATTTCTCCAAGTCTAGTGTATTAATGCTCAGTCTATTTTGACCCTATTCGTTCCTTCCATCATTCTTTCCTTCTCTTGCATAAGATTGCCTTGAGCAAGCCAATCTGCTGCAATGGCTACTGGTCAAGCTTTCAAAAAGGAGCACTTCTTTTGTGTTCTCTTTGGCATCGTGCTTGGCTTATTGTGTCTAGTCTTCTGGCCGCATAGCTTGAAACTGTGTGGCTCTAGTATTGCTCGCCGCGCTTCCACTATTGATAGCTTAGAAGTTAATAACCACGTTGCTATCTCCGCCCGAGATGATTACTCCTATAGTGCTAGCAATCCCTATAGCAATGGAGCTTGCTGCGGTGCCAGTGGCTACTATGGCTATGGTGATACATACTGTGGCAAGGGGTGTGTCTCAAACTGCGATGCTATTGCAGAGTGCGGAAAGTACGCGTAGCCTGCGAATAAGATATGCCCACTTAACACTTGCTGTAGCGAATTTGGATTTGTGGGTTACTATTTTATAAGTTAGACGAACACGGTTAACCTCTATTAGTGCGGGATAACGAAAGACTTCTGCAATGGTATGTCCCCTAGTTCCTGATCTTAACCAGAGACTAATAACTAGAAGATGCTTGCCAGAGCAACTATCATCTGAATGTCACTGTCCCGGCAGGTAGATCCTTAAGCGGTGTACTGCAAAACAAGGTTATCGGCTATTACGAGGCGTGGATAGCTCGTAAGAGCTGCCACAAAATCAAGCCGGTTAACTTGCTATTAGATACACTGACTTAGTGAGCCCTATCGCTTTCCTAACCAGTTATGCCTATACTGACATTGAGTAGTGTAAACTTTGTATTTGCATCGATTGATCCTTCCACCTATCAGGTCGTTGCGATAGACTCGGCAACTCCGACAAGTCTCTTCTTAGATATAACCAACCTCAAGTCTATCAAGGAAGATATCAGGGTCTATGTTAGTATTGGAGGGTGGACTTTCTCTAATAACGGCACCGACACATAGCCCGTGTTCGGAGATATCGCTACATCCGCGAGCAATCGCAAAAAGTTCGCCAATAATGTGGTACACTTTATGCGTTAATACGGTATCTTTACTTATTTGTTTGTTTGTCTTAATCTAATCTTTAATAGGGTTTAACGGTGTTGATCTTGATTAGGAATATCCTAGTGCTAGTGACCGAGGTGGCAAGGCCAGAGACACAGAAAACTACGTCCTCTTGCTCAAGACCCTTAAAGAGGTTTTCAATAATAGCGGAAACAAGTATAGGCTGACCTTCATAGCCCCTTCGTTATACTAGTATCTTCGATGGTTTAATCTCCCAAAAATAGTCAAGTACGCGGATTGGATTAATATCATGATATACGATCTTCATAGAGTGTGGGATGCCACCAATCCGATAAGAAGTATTTTGTAGGGACATACCAATCTAACTAAGATCAAGAGTGCCCTCGATCTCTTTTAGAGGGTTAAGGTCCCTCCCTCGAAAGTGGTCCTAGGCCTTAGGTTTTACGGTCGTGCGTTCACCCTTTAAGATAAGGAATGTTCAAAGCCCGGCTATGCATTCAAGGGTGCCTCGGACCCTAGGTCCTACTCGGATACAGCTAGTATGCTCGCGTACTATGAGGTTGCCAGCATTCTGTAGGGAACCTCAAAGAAACGAGCTACCATCTCCCTAGCCCATGATAAGGAGGCTATAGTCAACTATTTCACCTTTAATAACAATCAGTGGGTTTCATACGATGACAAGACTACATTCAAGCAAAAGGTCTCCTAGGCGGATGAAGTCGGGCTAGGAGGGGCAATGATCTAGGCATCTGACTTAGGTATGATTTTGCTTGCTCTAAGCGAATTTACACTAACTATTCATTAGACACCGATAAATACGATGCCTATATAGACCTCCTTGATCGAGAAATCATCTCGACATCAACACTTAAGCTTGAGAATAAGGCAAAGGCAAATCCCGGGACAACCGTTGAAGATTTGTCTGCGCTTATAGGGCAGAAATGCTTCAAGCACATAGGGAAATGTCTCAAAATTGACGATATAAAAGCTATGTCCAAAGCATATAGCAGCGGCTATACTATTGTCGGCTAGGACGACGTAAGGTGCGGAAAGTCTAAATGCGTAAGTGAACCATCTATGCGCGGTCAATTCATGTCTCACGATTCTGCCTTCACTAGCATTGCGGAAAGCCGGTTTGTTGCCTAACTAGTGCCGCCCCGAAGAACTATATGTGGCGCGGATAGGATACTGGCCAAAAGGGAGCTAGTTCTGACTATAGTGGGCAATGTGCCGCGGGAGAAATCAACGTTGCCGGCATTCGCTCTTCTTAGAGTGGCGGGTATCTTAACGATAAAAACACGGATAAGTGCGGTCGTGGCTATAAGGCATTCTGCTGTCAGACCCTGACTATAAGTAAGTTACCAAGACTTGCTCTTAGGCTAAGTGGTGCGTACTAACTCAAGTTAATTGACTATGCACAAACTGACTTTTTTACACCTCTAGTGGGGAGAACTGCCCACCTAGAAAATCTGCTGTTCTAACAAAGTATGACGAATGTTATTCTAAAGGACGAAAGTATTGTTGTTCCGATCTAGCGGAGCTGGTTAGTTGCCAATAGGAGAATGGAAGCGGCGGTGACGGCGATTGCGCGAATGCCGTGTGCAATTCAACTTAGGTTGAGATCGCTAAGTCTACCTTAGGTGATGGCAGTACCTCTTGTGAATATAAGTTTGTCTACTTTTAATCTCTCGTTTTGCTTTCTATATAGTGGCCTAACAAGGATCTGATTACGGGGCCGACAACGGTTAGGATGCTATATAGTGACGAAGGCGCTAACCCGCAAGGTAACCTGCACTTATAATATCTGCGACTTAGATTCCGACTATTGCTATTCTAATCCGCTTCTTTATAAGAGAGACGATTAAGACACCCTAGACTCCGATTATAGTGGTGATGACTCTAGTATCGCTAAATGTGCTGGTAGAGAACGCAAGACATTCAAAATTGTACTTGGGACATTCGGCTACTAGATCGCGGGCTATCTAAGCATTGGCAAGCTCTTAAATCCGGAAAAGTACGGAGCTGCTTTACTCACAAAGGCTTTCCGAACGCGGAGCGGCTTTTGCGCAGGCTCTACGCTAGATATCGTTAACTTGCCGAAAAATCCTACTGAAAAGTAACGAAAAGATCTTGACATAGAGCATCCGCTTGATAAGGGGCTGTAGGGACTTTTCTATAAGTACATGGGGAATCGAGAGCTCCTAGGTGATAGATCCGCCAATTTCCTAGAGATTGATCCCAAGTTCTGGGACAAATTCAATGAGCACAATGCAAAACTAGATGCCATGGCTCAATTTGGCAAGGACCGCAAGGGAAAAAAGCCGATGTCCCCAGAGTATTTGGCCGAAGCTTATAGGTCCGAAAGGAACCCACGGCCCTTTATGCCGGTTGAAAATGGCCTGAATATTGCCAAAAGAGATATTTTCTTGGGCAAATCTCCGGTCCAAGCTACAAAGCTTAGGAAAGCTGCAACATCCGCTGTCAAAGCTGATACAGATATAGCGGCAGACAAGATGCTTTCGTTGCTTCAAACTGTAAGTGGCTATGGCTTTGTTCTGGATTTCACGCAAGCTAACCCAGGTTTCTAGGCCTTTTCCTCCTTTGAATATATTCGGAATGACTTGTTTCTGGAAAGATTCGACGGAGTGATCGATGATACCTTCACAGCTTGGAGTAATATCGAGTAGGCGACTGAGACGTATAACCTGCAGAATTGGCACGGGTTGGTTTTGGAGCTCAGTTCACGTATGCCCTGGATCAGGCACGTCGCTGGGCACGGGAATCAATTCGGATTGCCAGGGCTCCGTATGTCGAAGCATATGAGGCCGGTCGCAGCTTGGCCACTTATGATCGTGTGATGACTGCCTTGGATCAGTTTGAGGATCTTATCTCGCAGATTAAGATGTCGGATGTTACTTCCGAGAACTACAAGAAGCGGAATCCCTATAATGGTGAGGGGCCAAGTGGATCTAACTCATGATTTAGAACCTTGAAAATATACACTTCCAATTCAATGATCAGCCTTACCGAGTCTTCCAGCAATGCATCTTCACTCTGGTCTTTCGGAGAGCTATGTTGGTCTGGGATCGATCGATATATACTGTGTTGAGATGTACGATTGGACTAGCTGAATTGCTGCAAACAAGCATCCGATTCACGAGATTGTTTAAGTCTGAACCCCAATATCAAGTACTTCTCCACCTAACGTACTGCTCAGGTCATGCTCAGTGAGCACTTAGGTCGTACTCAGTGAGCACTTAGGTCTTGCTCAGTAAACACTCTGGCTTTGCTCAGTGAGCACCCAGACTAGGCTTAGTATTGAGATCACATAACTGATTCTGAGGGAACTCCAGGTCACATTCTGGGGCTTATTTTGATGGTCTTGATGCTTTGCTGGAGTCGTCGCGGTGGTCTCCTCATCAAAGACGGCGCCATCTACAAAAAACGATAAACAGGAGCAACGGCCCAGTTCTCAAAAAAATAACCCTGTAGGGCGGAAACACAGTCCCCGCATTTCTGTTATGCATTTTCAGTCTTGACCGGATTAACAAATCTTGGGGGTGCTTGGATGTGAACACTGTATTTTGGGCCCTTCTCGCTTCATGCAGTAGCCCAAAAGACCTACAGAGTAGTATTGGAACAACTGAGAAGTCAACTTATGAGCCTCTTCTTTCATCTTGTCATCTGCATCATATATGGCAGCAGTCGTGGTTGTGGATACACCTTCAACAGCGGCAGCCGCATCGTTGCCCACGCTGCTCATGCCCTTGTTATTACTGATAACCGTAGCAGCTCTTCAAATTGACAATAGTCTTCTTTGAATTCCATCGAGCCGATGTCACGAAGAAAACCATGAAACCTCTCTAGTTTCGTCTCACCGTTGAAATTGATGTGCCTGAAAAGCGCTGCCTCCTCATCTCTCCAGATATGCGGCCATAGCAGTAGTTGAACTTCTTGGCCATGCAGGTACTCCGTACGAGTAGCCCATAGCTTCACGGGAAGACGTGGTTGCAATCTTTGGTTGGGTAGGAGGTTTAACACGACAGGCGGGCGAATACCAACGTTTTTTCCAACCCTTTGCTTTTGCTCTTCCGTTACTGGGACTTTAAAGTAGACCCAGAAGATGTGGACAAAACATCTAGGCACCAAGCTAAACCAATGCTGCCAATTGCCAGGGAACTCATGACATGCCAGGAATGTAATCCCGTCTTTCGCAAGCTGTTCTCTGAAAAGCTGAGCTGACGGAGAGCTTTCAAAGTCCCTGCACGCTGAGCTATTGGACCAATCTAGATGTGAGAGCCTCGTCAGAAAATTGACCCACTCGGAATATTATGAAGTATCGCTTCTGAAGGATATGACTTGCGTGTGCCTAGAATCATTTTCTCCGGGTTGAAGCGAAGCCGAGCCCATGCTGACTGTTTGTGGCCCGCAGCATGTACTAAGGGTTGGAAATATTCGACCCATCGCTGTTTATCAGACTCATGTCCAATAGGCACCCGAAGCTCAGTCCAAACAACGGCCCAGTTGGATGGACTGGTAGGATAGTCGGACACTGATTGCATGCTCCCTGGATCGGGCAGACCCAGGTGGAATTTTCAATTTCAAAGAAAGTGAGACAAGAAGCTCGGAGTGCCTACCCGCTAGCCCGGGCTCAAGCTTGGATATATAGGTCTTGCTCTACGTCACGTGATAACTAACTATGGGTCCCAAATATCTCGGTGGTGAATCTACGTTGACATGCTCTGGAAACAACAGTTTCCCAAAATACATACACATCGACGTCGACAATAGCAGTGTCACTACTAATGACCACGTTGCCGAAGTGAACCATCATGGTCCTCGTCTGGGATCCGAGCACAAATCCTACCAAAAGGCCGAATCATATCTTGGGAAAGGTGGAGACCACATCTCGAGAAAAATATAAAATATGTTGAGTGAATCAGACCCTAGAACTCTTGTTTCGGATGATGGACCTTTGAAATTTTTGTGCAGGAAAAAGCGTTAGACCAGGCATGCATTTGAACTTCGACATCACGGCCACTAGATGGCTCTCTACAACATATCTTAGGTCGGGAGAATCTGGTGATAAGACAATTAGAATATTAGACGGCCTTCAAATGAGGAAAAGTGCAGTGAATAGGAGCTGCAGTTGATCGGGGACAGAGCCTCTTCAAGTATTGAGAGAGGTGCCTCGAGTATGATCTAAACGGCTCCGAACAGGGTGCCAGAGAGTATCCTGGAGAATATACTCATCAATTGTGTGCGTCTGAATGATCGGCTTGGAAGATACGGGCAAAGATCTGCACAGGCTACTGTGACAGCCAGGGTCAAGTCTATTCAAAGCTTCGTCGATGAACTTGTCCTGCTAGACTACTCCGACGCCATCCAAGCGATCAAGCAAGAAAACGCTTTTTCAGCCAGCAAGAACATCCAGACTCGGTACAACGAAACCGCGGATTGGGAGATCACAGAGAAAGGTGCGGACCTCCTCGATCCGAAGAGTCTGCCCACCTCTAAGGGGCCTCTCGATGAGTTCACAATGGCCGAGAAGGTTGCGACCGAACGCTTCATGAGAGACGCGGGTTATGGGCTCAGCCTTGCTAACCAGCGTCAGCGCCGCCTTCTCTGGAAGAGGCTTTGCGAGATGCGGAAAATGGGCATTGATCTATTGCCTAGACTCGAACTAACACGGGGTGTTTACAGCCATTGTTAATTCCCACATATCTATCGAGAGTGAAGTGCGTTTAAAATTGACCTCAAATAGCACGCCTTTGGACTGTTGAAGAACAAGCGGAAAGGGAAATCCATGTCGCGCGGCCTAAAATCCGATGTATATGCACAGGACTAGAACACAATAATTTAAACCATTAAACAAACTCCGTCCCATGATTAATTTGTGAAAATGCTTGCCGTCGCTGAACAGAACAAGAGCGCCAGATCTTGAGGTGAATATTCCAATGCAATCTCGGAGGGCAATGATGAAACAAGTCGATGGTTTCCAATCAAGATTTCTTGAGGAACTCCGCATCTGTTTCACTGCTACTACTCTTCCGAGCATCATCCAACATGGAGTCAATGCCCCTTTCCTTCAGAGCTTTCTACAAGCAGTAAGACACACTTGTTAGTTCAAGAATGGTTTTGAAATGCGAGGACATGTCGAGAAACTCACGTTCAAGCACCCCTTGTAGTTCTTAAATAGTTCTTCGCAGTCATTGGAGGAAGTGTTGCCACGCAGGTATTCTGCTCTGCAGTTAGCTTCTGCTGTTTGTATGTGAGTTCCAATGATTGTGAAGCATACTCTCACTGTACCACTTGAGAAAGCAGGTGTCATATTTCCTAGTTGAGTAATGTTAGTATATTCTGTTGACATATAACCCGGGCCTGCACTGGAACGTACTCTTTGATATCATTGCATTCGGGTGCGATGGAAGCAGCCATGGTGTTATGTCATCAAGCACAAGGGCAAACAAGAGATCCGAATATATTCTGAAGATTCAAATATGTTCTTGCTCGATAGCTGAATAGTTGAGAACAACTCGAGAGAGAAGAGAAGGTGACTGTCGATCCGCGGAATTCATACAAATTTCGCCACTCTGGGAAGGCGGTCAAGGCGGGCCTACCATTTCTCCAGTACATTTTCCTGCCGCGACTTTTTTTTCTGAGCGTTCTGACATCCATTCCATTCGTCCTTTTATTTCATTTGCAAAGATCCAGGGAATTGGAGCTCTGCCAGTCATGGACTCCGCAGAATTTCAACCGTTCCAGGACAAGCTGTCGTCCGCCCTGGTCCAAGTGACGCGAACTGTTGGACAGCTCTCTTCCGAAGACTTGAACTTCCACCGCACCTCCAGTGCCGATGTTTCCGAGACGCTAGATGAACAGAGTGAGCGCATCATTGCGCTGACCACCGCCGTGCTCAAAGCTGCGACAACCGGTACCGATATCGCCGCACCGACCCTTAACGATGAGGATTCCGTCGACGACAACTGGCGCGGCGTGGTAGACGTGATCGACTCACTTTTGGAAAAGGCTGATGCCTGCCTGGATGAGTTTACAGGTGTGATCAAGAAATTGAGTCCGTCGGAGGAAGAGCAGGCGCCTGTGGTGGTGAAGAAAGCGCCTCACTTCCCATCTATTTACGACTACGGCCCATCTAAGATTCCAAAGCCGCAATTGGAATTCGACCGCAAACCCGATAACTCCGATTTGGGGCCTTTCAAGCCCCTGCTTAAGTCCAAGCCGAATGCGATTGTCCCGTTGGAGCAGTGCTTGAAGACGCAGAAGATCGATGGCGCAACTGCTTATCCCCACCCTTACGCCACTGAAATCCGTGCCTCCGAGTATCCCAAGCCCGTCTACGAGGTTTCTCCTCAGGTTGATTACCTACCCTTTGAGAGTACGACGGCTACATTTGTTGATACCTTGGATGGAGTCAAGGAGATGTTGGAGGAGCTTAAGAAGGCGAACGAAATTGCTATTGATTTGGAACACCACGACGTTCACTCTTACCACGGTCTTGTGTCTCTGATGCAGATCAGCACTCGTGAGAAGGACTGGGTTGTAGATACTTTGAAACCCTGGAGAGAAGAGCTGCAGATGCTCAACGAGGTGTTTACAGACCCCAAGATCTTGAAGGTCCTTCACGGTGCTACCATGGATATTATCTGGTTACAGCGTGATTTGGGTCTCTACATGGTTGGGATGTTTGATACTTTCCATGCTGCATCTGCGCTCGGTTTCCCCAAGCGGAGCTTGAAGTTCCTGCTGAACAAGTTTGTCAACTTCGAGGCTGATAAGCGGTACCAGACTGCTGATTGGCGAACTCGCCCCCTTCCGTCCGAGATGTTTGACTATGCACGGTCTGACACACATTATCTTCTTTATATCTACGACTGCCTACGCAACGACCTGATAGAAAACTCGACTGCCGAAGCGAGCCACATTGACTACGTTAACGAGCGGTCAAAGGGCGAAGCATTGCAACGCTACGAGCGTCCTGTTTACGATGCTGTGCATGGACATGGCCCGGGAGGTTGGTATGACTTGCTGTGGCGTAACGCTGGTAATCTCCCCAAGGAGCAATTCGCTGTCTTCAAGGCTGTCCACCAATGGCGAGATGAAGTGGCGCGCGCCGAGGACGAGGGATGGCAGTGCGTATTCCCGAAACACGTCCTTTTCAAGCTCGCTACCGTCATGCCGCTTGACATGGGCACCCTGTTCCGCACCCTGTCACCTGTCACCCCCATCACGAAGGACCGCGCACATGAGCTCCTGGAGCGCATCAAGGAGGCCAAGGTTGCCGGTGCTACGGGCCCGGAATGGCGCGATACGACACCCCCGAAGCCCAATGTGAAGATTGCGGAGGTTACTGACCTGCAACCCACTGATTTCCCTGTTGCAAAGCGATTCGAAACATCCCAATTCTGGGGCGATGTCCTGGAAGCCCAAGAAATCCCTCTTCCTCCCGCATATGCTCTCACTGCCTCGGCAGAGGCCCTTCGCCTGTCTCTTCCATTGCCACCCATGCCGACAACTGTTTCCGAGACTCGGGAATCCCTCGGCACGGCTCCCAAACAGCCCGCCGAGGCACCCAAGCCCAAACCCACACCTGCCCCCGAGGCCGAAGAAAAGAAATACTTCACCGTCAAGGACCTCGGTGCCCCCCGCAAGCGCAAGGTCACCCCCATCAACGACCCCAAGCAAGCCCTTTCCACCACGGCCGAACTCGACGACACTAGCAACCCCGACTCGACAGGGAAGAAGTCCAAGAAGTCCCGCAAAGAGAAGGAGAAGAAATCCAAGAAGGCTCAAACCGTGAACGAGGCTGCGTTCGACTACAACGCCGCCGACGCCGTCCTCAATGCGCCATCTTCCTCCACAGCAATGCAGCCGAAGAAGCGCGCTTTCAACCCCTACGCCAAGGCTCTGGAAGCTCCTTCGGGTGCCCGGAAGACCAAGCGCGAGACGCCTGGCAAATCTCTTACATTCCGTCAATAGGCGGGACCTGGGTCATGACACAAACAAGCATGGTTGGGGTTTGGCTGGTTCCAAAGTTCTTTTGTCTTTGTATCTTCTATTTCTATCATTTTTAGCATAGCGATACCCGTGCGTCAGTTGGAGGCTCTGGGATTCTACGTGTATGTATTGAATATCAGGGTTTTTATGGCAGAAGTATACCTTGCATGGTGTAGATCTGATTAGATTGAGGGTTGCCAAGTGTTCCATAGTGGAACTGGTGATTAATAGTTTGAGAGTTGGAACCCACATGCGTTCGTGATGCAGAGCGGCCTGATAGTGGCGTTTCTGGAGCTGATGATATACATGTACCTGCATGTTCAAATTTCCGATGTATCTAATGCTATTTGAGACAAGTCAACCGGGTTCTCTTGTTTTAGTTTCAATGTTTTGATGTTATTAGCCTCGTGTTGCGAATAAATGTTCCACTTTAAACGTGCCCTTCCAGCTCAGGCCAGCGCTGGATGGAGATAGATAAAAATCGTTGGCAGGTTTAAACCGCAGACTAGTATCGATGCAGTGAGACACTGTCTAAGGGAACTCCTTTACCTGTCACTTTCTATTTTTTGCCCTAAGTTATACATGCAGAACCATTAAGTTTCAGCCACATGCCAACCCCTATACAGTACATGTACACCTGCGAGACATAAGAAACTCGAGATAGCGAGGCTGGTACTTTCACAACAGCGAATAAAACTTACTGTCTGCGACATAGAGTATAGCCGTCTGCATTGACCATCCCCCACCAAAAAAGTAAAAACAAGCAAATATAAAAAAAGAAAAGGAAAGGGAAACGGACCCCACGCAATAAAAGTTCGAGCAAATAACTTACACTTCAATAGGATCTTCAATGCACCCTCCTTTCCGTAAGCAGGCATTAATATAGCCGATCACCCGCTATGACCAGGGCGATATGCATATCCAGTATAGTCGGGGTACACATGTATAAGTTAGTGCATTGGCAAGTTGCTACATGTAACACACCTGATTTGAGTTAGCTTACAGAGTACGTACACCCGTAGATCTTTAACGGTAAAGGATCCCAGTACGGGGAGATTCACCCGGCAGCAACGGAAGCTCGGATAGTGTTAGAAGTTTGTGTACAGAGTGTAGTTTTATAAGTATGTGCGTCCTCTTATATGTACATCAGGGGTTTGGGGATCTACGGCGAGCTTGGCGCGTTTCATACCGGACGGGATGGAGGCCCGTGTGGATGATCTGCTTTGGAGGATGGAATTTGGCTTTGATATGTTAATGTTAATGTTAAGTTAATGTTACTGCAGCTACAGTTCTAGGAGCTGAATATGTGTATATTAATACTAAGTGCCTTTACACCGGTAAGGAAGTTGATAAGGGGAACTACCAGTCCCACTAGTCTCCACTATACCCCTGAGAGCATAGGCCGTATGTAGAACAGTTACTGTAGGTTCACACCCCGCAGACTTGCTTGATTTTTCTGGTTTCCAATGTCTGAGCTTTGGATTCCCAGGTTACTGTACTGCTATACTTTGTCTAGATAAAATAGGAAAGACCTAAAGTTTGTTTAGACAGGGGTATATCTGGGATACTTGGATAGCCTGAGAGTGAAAGTACATCCGAGATCATCCGTGCCGACTTATCAGAAGTACATAGGATGATTCTCAGGTCCAATATGGACATTTGTACCAAGATCCAAATCAACCTGAAACTCGACTCGAACAGCACATGGACGGCTCGTGGACTAGGGCTGCAGGTACCCTGCAGACATGAGACTGTGTTTCCGTTGCATTGACGTCAAAATAGTAAAGTTCAGTGGAGTGCATGGGAGATCAGAGAAAGGAAAGTAAAGTGGCGAAAAGGCGCATTGGGCCAGGGGTAAGGCCCCTTGCAGTATACAGAAAAAAAGGGCGCTCCACCGGTAATCCACCTCTCTCTTTTTTCCCCAGAACCGCCCTAAGAGTAATCTCCCCTCCCCCTCCCTTCTTCAAACTCTTCAACTCTTCCTAATTACCTTTTTGCAGTCCTTTGTCCCTGGAGTCAACCTTTCACCCTCTTCCCCCACCCGCGCATTATCATCAGGGGCTATCTCTCTTCGATTGTCCCTACAATTGCCATTCGTCCGAACATTGGCAGTCTGTCTCCGGCACTGCGACAAGAACTGGCTCTGACGACCAGGCAAATCACACGATGTCCGTTGCGACGATGCTTCAACCAGCGTCTAGACAATCTCGAGCATCATCTTCCTCTTCCTCCTCGTTTCAGCCCGTCGCACGACAGAACACAATGTCGTCGCACGATACTCGGTCGATCCGCCAATCCAAGCGGATGTCGGTCACTGCCTTGTACCTGTCAATGTCCGCCAAGGACCGGGACCTGGAGATTTCTGATGACTTGGCACGAGGTACGTTCCAGCGATCGGTGTTTCCAATGGTCGCACTAACCCCCTGGCAGCACAAAAACATCTGCGGGACTTGAAGTCTAGGATCTCTTCGCAGTCCAAGAAGAACTTTGTGCTGGAGAAGGATGTGCGGTATCTCGATTCACGGATAGCATTGCTTATCCAGAATCGAATGGCCTTGGAAGAAGTAAGGATTTCCACTAAAAGTCGACCGACGCTCTTGTTAACCCTTGTCTTTGTAGCAAAACGAAGTCGCCAGCCACCTCGATGACACCGCAGACCCCCAGGAAGGGTTCTTCCCGAACGACGAGCGAACTCAGAAGTACGGCAACCTTCTCTTCCTCTTGCAATCCGAACCCCGCCACATCGCTCACCTCTGCCGACTGGTCTCCATGGCCGAAATCGATTCCCTTCTCCAGACCGTCATGTTCACCATCTACGGAAACCAGTACGAGAGTCGCGAGGAGCACCTTCTGCTCACCATGTTCCAGTCCGTTCTCACCTACCAGTTCGACAACACCCCCGAGTACTCCTCCCTGCTCCGCCAGAACACCCCCGTTTCTCGCATGATGACCACATACACACGCCGTGGTCCCGGTCAGAGTTACTTGAAGCAGGTTTTGGCGGACCAGATCAATGCTCTGATTGAGTTGCGCGATGTGGATTTGGAAATCAACCCCCTGAAGGTCTATGAGAGCATGATCAAGCAGATTGAAGAGGAAACCGGTTCTCTCCCAGACTACCTCGCCCGGTCTGTGACAGCCGAGGATGCTGCCGATAACGCTCAGGTGCAGGCGATTATTGCTCCTCGTCTGAAGATGTTAACCGACATTGCCAATGGATTTATCTCAACCATCATTGAGTCTGTCGACGAGGCCCCGTACGGTATTCGGTGGATTTGCAAGCAGATTCGCAGTCTGTCGCGCCGAAAGTACCCTGATGCCCAGGACCAGACCATCTGTACCCTCATCGGTGGTTTCTTCTTCCTGCGCTTTATCAATCCCGCGATTGTTACTCCCCGATCATACATGCTAATCGACGCCACGCCTACCGACAAGCCCCGTCGAACCTTGACTCTGATCGCCAAGATGATCCAGAACCTGGCGAACAAGCCCTCCTACGCCAAGGAACCTTACATGGCCAGCCTCCAGCCTTTCATTCAGCAGAACAAGGAGCGTGTTAACAAGTTCCTACTTGATCTGTGTGAAGTGCAGGACTTCTACGAGAGTCTCGAGATGGACAACTACGTGGCTCTGTCGAAGCGCGACCTTGAGCTCCAGATCACCCTCAACGAGATGTATGTTATGCACGGTCTTCTGGAGAAGCACAGCGCAGCGCTTGCCCAGGATCAATACTCCCACCTGTCTGTGCTGCTGCAAGAATTGGGAGCTGCTCCCCCTCAGGTCCCTCGCAAGGAGAACAGGACCATCACAGTGCCCTTGTTCAGCAAATGGGAGACTGCGCTGGATGATTTGACCGCTGCCCTCGATATCACCCAAGAAGAAGTGTTCTTCATGGAGGCCAAGTCGACTTTCGTCCAGATTCTTCGATCCCTGCCTCCGAACTCTTCAGTCGCTCGTCGGCCTCTGCGACTCGATCGCATTGCCGAGGCCGCTGCTACCTTGAAGAACGATGCCGTGATGGTGCGCAAGGGAATTCGCACCATGGAACTGCTCAGCCAGTTGCAGGACATGGGCGTGATCGACCGCTCTGACGAGTTCAGTCTGCTTCGTGATGAAGTGGAGCAGGAACTGGTGCATCTCGGTTCCCTCAAGGACAAGGTGCTAGAGGAGACGCGGAAACTTGAAGAAGTTTTTGCCACCATTCGCGACCATAATGCCTACCTGGTCGGCCAGCTTGAAACGTATAAATCATACCTGCATAACGTGCGCAGCCAGTCCGAGGGCAAAACTCGTGGCAAGACTACGAAACACCAGGAGCTTGGACCATACAAATTCACTCATCAGCAGCTGGAGAAGGAGGGGGTTATTCGTCGCAGCAATGTGCCTGAAAACAGACGGGCGAACATCTACTTCATGTTCAAGAGCCCGTTGCCCGGTACATTCGTTATCAGCCTGCACTATAAGGGTGAATTCATAATCCTCAACCCCAAAGGGAACATCACTAACAAATTATTTGTATAGGCCGAGCCCGTGGATTGCTAGAGCTTGATCTCAAGCTCGATGATCTCCTTGAGATGCAGAAGGATAACCTCGAAGACCTCGATCTGGAATACGTCCAATTCAACGTCACCAAGGTGCTAGCACTTCTCAACAAGCGATTTGCTCGCAAGAAGGGATGGTAAAGGCGCCTGATCCCAGGCTCCCCAGAGCCATTTCCTTTTCATGAATGATGAGCCCGAGCAGAGGTTGGCCCGCTTCCTGCCTGCCAACCCGCGATGTCTAGTGCCGGTGACGATTGACTATTGAGTTGCAATCTTGTGATGATCATGGACGCCAATACATCTCCAATATACCCTCGACAATGATGAATCGGACGTCTGTTCCATACGACTCCGACCTGCCCGTCTATGCAGTTCGGGCGAAATGCCCTGTGTGAATGTTGTCAGTACACGAACATACCCACGGAGGATGATCAAAGCCTTACCCGCTGGTACGGGGGGCTGCCGATGATCCTGTGCTTTCTGTTTATTTTCTCATGTCCGCCTCTTCTTTCCATTCTATTTCTTTTGTCTTGCCTCATCGGTTCAATGTCTATACCCAGCGGATAGTTGTCTTTTGCTTTTTCTGTTTTGTTTTCTCTGGCTTCGGGGCTATGGGCCCTATAATCAATCCCATCTTCGGCATGTTGTTCTGTTCTGTTTTGTTTTCATCACCGCTCAGGCTTATGTGGTCTGCATGCGCTGTGTATAATAATGGATGCTGTTGCGATGTGTGTTTTGGATTGAATACCCGTATGTTAATGATGGCGGTTTACCTCTTTCTGTACAGAGTCTAGACAGATTACAATTCATTTCGGGGTTTGTACTTGACTTATATATTGCCATCGTATTCGTTTTCATTTGCAAAGGGAGCATGTACACGCGTTTTATGTCAGTGCCGGTGTCCACTGTCTTGCAGAGTGGGTTTTGTCACCGACACCGCCACGTTTGCCCCTCGTCTGCTTGCCCCTTTTCCCTGCTTCAGGAAAGGGATTTGGTTGCGAGAGGCTATTGCTGTTTATCTGTTACGATATAAGTTTACAACATTTATGCCGAGATTAGAATGTAGTCGTCGATGGGAGCCCAAGTAGATCGTTTGCGGATCAACCTCGAGTCAAGTAAGTAACGTTAATCAAGGAACAGAACAATGAAAGAAATGACAGTTCGCTTATAGGCCTCTGTAACATATCTAAAACAGTAATCCAGCCAAGCAATACTCCGTATTTTTGTTTGTTTATCAAATAGCAGGGAATAACTTTCGACGATCCCCCAGAGACTTTTTTGTACCTCGAAGTGGCCACTTACGCCAGACCCCCCTCCGCCTCCCGCCCTTCCTCAAACCTCCCTCTCTTCCCTCTCCAACCACCACCCCATATTCACAATGGCTACCGAGAACTCGTTGTCCACCGACTCCAAGTACGACCAGTACGACTTCCCCACCACTGCGCCGGAGTCGCAGTCTGGCCACCCCGGCCACACCACCCCGGAACAGGATGCTAAGGTGCACCAGCTCCGCGCTGAGCTGGAAAAGCTCGGCTACACTGAGCGCCTGGATACATTGACTCTGCTGCGTTTCCTCCGTGCCCGCAAGTTCGATGTCGAGGCCGCTAAGAACATGTACGTGGTCCAATTCTTGCGGGGAGGTTTTTTTGTTGTTGTTTCCTGACAGCTTGGAAATCTTTCTGCTGCTGTTTCTGCCTTTGGGCTTTGGTTTTTATCGATATTGGCGGTGGCTAATCTGGTTTGCATCATAGGTTCACGAACAGTGAGACGTGGCGCAAGGAGTTCGGCACTGATGACCTCGCTCGTACCTTCGAATACCCCGAGAAGGAGAAGGTCTTCGAATACTACCCCCAGTACTACCACAAGACTGATAAGGTGGGTTGCATTTTTTTCTCTCCTGACTGATAGCCCTCCCTCGGGGCAACATATGGATATTAACACTGATAACAGGATGGACGCCCCGTGTACATCGAGAAGCTGGGCAAGATCGACCTGAACAAGATGTACCAGATCACAACCGCCGACCGCATGCTCAAGAACCTCGTGACAGAGTATGAGAAGCTCAGCGACCCCCGTCTCCCCGCCTGCTCCCGCAAGGCCGGCAAGCTCCTTGAAACTTGCTGCACAATCATGGACCTGAAGGGCGTTGGAATCACCAGCGTGCCCTCCGTCTACGGATACGTCAAGCAGGCCTCCGACATCTCCCAGAACCACTACCCCGAGCGTCTCGGTAAGCTGTACCTGATCAACGCCCCCTGGGGTTTCAGCAGCGTGTTCAGCGCCGTCAAGGGCTTCCTTGACCCCGTCACTGTTAGCAAGATCCACGTCCTCGGTAGCGGATACCAGAAGGAGCTTTTGGAACAGGTCCCCGCTGAGAACTTGCCCGTTGAGTTTGGCGGCTCTTGCAAGTGCGAGGGTGGCTGTGAGCTTTCTGACTTTGGTCCTTGGAAGGAGGATGAGTGGGTTCGCACTCCCAAGTGGGCTCAGCCCAAGGAGGCTGAGGCTGCTACCCCTGTTGAGGCTGCTACCCCTGTTGAGGCTGCTACCCCTGTTGAGGCTGCTGCTCCTACTGAGGAGAAGAAGGAGGAGGCTGCTGCTGCTGAGGCAACCGCCTAAGTCTGTAAATGTCTTTTCTCTATCTTCTCTGCCTAACTGCCTACTATCCTATCGCCAATCTCCCCCGGAAGAATAAGAATATAGGGAGATTTCGATCGACCCTAGATCCTCCGGCGGTCCGAATACAACCTTACCCGACCTCTGCATACCTCCCTGGCAGACCGGAACTCTTCCTTCTGATAGCTTCAACACATCCCCATCGACCCATCCACAGATACAGCTGTGGACTCCTTACCCTACATTCGCTTTTTTGCAATCTGTTGTTTTTGTTCAGATTTAGATATCATGGAGAGCTTGCTTTTTGTTTTCTGCTTTTTTTTTGCCTGTTCAGGATTGGCAGCGTGCCCTGCTGCGCTGCTCTCTGTATAGAAGGAACAGGACGTGGTGAAATGTAAAAGTGAGTTGGTGTGTCTGTGATTTGCTGGTGTCTTTGTTCTGTGGAGTATACATCGATGAGCATATATTAAATCGTGGCTTCATATCGATGATGTTGATATTGTATGCCTAATTCCTCCAGTCCTGGGGTGGTCTATTGTCGGTTGTAGAATCGTCTACCCAGATAGCTACAAGATAGGCTTTATGGTCTTGATCTATCTCTCAGGTGACCGTAGTTTATCTGTAATCCATGCAGATGGAAAGGCAGTCCTTATTCTCCGTATAGGCCCAAGGATGCCCTAACCACAAGCTTAAAAGAAATGAATTTCTAGCTCCCTTGAGCCAATCGACAATAGAAAAGACGTGGTATCATAAATCCTGAGTAAACCCTAAGGCCCCAAACGCCCCAATCACAAAAAGAACCCAAATAACAGAAAATATAAGCGCCAGCAAGACCCTTAAAGCCCTTACATATTCTCCACCACCTCAGCAGCACGCCCAGCCCTCTCAGCCTTCCCAACCGTCGTAGCCAAAGCGTGACCCTCCGCACCGGTCTCAGCATCAAGCCCTCCCTCACCCTGCAACCGCAAAATCGTCCGCAGAGCATCCTCATAAACCCCAGCAATATCCCCACTAGACCACCGTTCCTGTTCCTCTGCCGTCCCAAGCGCAATCTCCAACTTCCACCGAGATGCCGCATCCCCCTCTTTTGGCGCGGAGTCAACATCCATACCATCCTCCGGAACGGATGTCATTCCAGCGCCATTCTTGTCTCCACCATCATATTCCTCCTCAACCTCCTCCTTAATCAACTGCTTCAATTGTGCCGCATACTCCTTCGCCGCGCGTCGAGGCGCGTCCCGTCTCTGCTGCGCGATGCCCGTCGTGAGCGATTCAAGTTGCGCGTAGAGGGCCGTGACGCGCGATGCCAGTTCTGTGTCGTAGGCTTCATACTCGACTGTTTCGGTTGGGGTGGTTAGGGCTGCTGGGAAGGGGAATTGTTCTGATGTTGAGTCGATTCCGTTGATGCTGATTGAGGAGGAGGCTGTTTCGAATGTTTTGTTGATATACTGTATTTGAATTGTCAGAGGGATCAATATTTTTATAGAATCGAAAGGGGAAACCCACGTCGTCGACTAGTTCCCTGACGCGTTCGCGCATCGGATCGGGTGTTTCATTGTCGATTGCGGAAGGGGGCAGGTTTAGGTCCAGTTTGCGGCGCGCGAGCGCGATTGTATTGGCGTACAGGTAAGTGAAGTCTGCTGGAGACTGGAGCTCAACTTTGCGGTGGTGTGGTGCTGCCATGGTGACTTGGGGTTGTTGATGTTGCAATGTTATTTTTTTTTGGAGTGGTGAGAGAGGGCTTGGCGGGATCCCCGCAAACGATGTCATCGTTGTTGCATTGTGCTTTTTCTTGTACACCTCATTTTCCGGATTTTCTTTCCTTCTCTTATTTTCTTTTATTGCAGGATACCCTACACCTCTCTGCTGTTCTATCGTTTATTTTTCTCGGTTTTCCTCTTAAGATAATGTGCTCGACCTTTCTGCGTTGCTCTCGGTGATATTCGACCAAGAAGCCTTGAGATCGAGATCGAGGCCAGCACCACTTTCATACTCTATTACATACCTATATTACCCATACTATGACCATGGAGAACTCGACTTCAATTTCCTTGGTCGATAACACCGTCCCCGTACAGCAACAAACCAGCGAGGGACCCTCAACACAGGCATCAGCCCTAGATCGGCAAACAAGCCTAACGAAGCACTTAAGCCGCGCATCAGTCCAGAGCCAACGCACGAAGCGAAAATACGCAAAATGGCAACCCGATAGACTAGGAATTGCACCCGACACCTCGGAATCGCTCAGTCGAGAACCGTCCCAAGCTCCAGGAGGATCAATCTCAGCAAGCTCCGTCGGAGAAGCTAGCGGGGCTCGTGATGTCGACGCGGCCGATTTCGCGCCCCCCCACATATCAAGCCATACTGGGGATGGAAACGCGACTGGGAACATTGATCCTGGAGCCCAGACGAACAAACGAGGCTCAGAATTGGACATCCTCTACGAAAACCAGCGGGGCTGGTTCGTTTTTGGAGTTCCTCGCTATTCACACAGCTCGCTGCTGAATTTCGATCCCAGTCCCTGGATCACGCAGGATAAGAGACCTAGTGCTGTTAATATCACCAACGCCCAACTGCCCGATCCGAGTTGGGAGTGGGCGTGGAAGACGTGGTATGTGGATATGTCGGGTGATGTCGATGAGCAGGGCTGGCAGTATTCTTTCTCATTCGCCTCCTCCTCCTGGCATGGCACGCAGCCGTGGTTCCATTCTTTTGTTCGGAGGAGGCGGTGGGTGAGGCTGCGGATCAAGGTTCCAGAGAGGCGGCACCGTGGCCGATCTGACTTTGAAAGGTCGCATATGTTTACTGAGGACTATTTTACTATTCACTCTTCCAAGGTCCGAAGCCGGGAGCAGAGCGTCGCGGGGTTGTCCCGGGTAGAATCTGGATTCTTGAGTCGTGCCAGTATGACGGTTGATGAGGAGCCGCAGATCGAGGAGATTCGGGATATTCCTAGCTTGATGCAGGCTTTGAAGCTAGCATCTATTGATCGGGAGAGAATTGACGCCCTCAAGAAATTCGTGAACAATGGAGGGGACGAACTCTATTACTTGGCCGATAGGGTGAGTTGAAATTGCTTTGTACTACTTTTGATATTGCCTGGCTAACTCTGAACATTAGATACCCGACATCATGCCCACATTCCTTTTCCAGACATCGCGCTGGCAATTCGTAACATATCTTTCTGGTGTAGTTCGCGACTTATCCAGAACTCATACAGATACCGACAAAGATGCCGATGCAGTTCAACGCAAGAAAGATAATCTTACCCGTGCAGCGGAGGCTTGCAAAAGCCATATCACTGGGCCAGATGTTTTCAAGGACACCCACGGGGAATCGGAGGCGGAATTGCTAAACTTGACTCCGGTGGCCAAGCAGGATACATTAAAGGCCAAGCGGCCGATGCTGGAGGAGCGGTCGCACTCGATGAGGCGGATTTTCAGGGGCATTCCCAAAGCTGCTGAGATTAACCGAGAAGGTCATATCTATTAATGTATAAGATTACTTTCTATAGCCTGAATAGATCATGTAAATATGCATTCCTTGGCGTGCTATCGAGGCTATAGATCTAGTTCGGGTCACCGCCTGCCGCATCGGCGCCGATAATTTTCGGGGCAAAAAGGTCCTCCGTCGCAAACACCTCATCACACGCCCATCCTCCTTTGTCATTCATGACTTCCGAACTGTTGGAGCGTCGACCTCTATGCTCTCTCGTGGCCGTCCATGTCTAAGGAGGCGAGTGTCCACCTTCTTGGACACCGTCACGACTGGGCCCGATGAACCTCTTCTCTTCCTCTACCCCCGCTGGGCTGCATCTACTTTACGGCATCGACGACCAATCTCTTCTTTGAAATCGATAGAAGCTGCGACGAGGACGTGTCAGCATTTTCATGCCCCCTTTCGCCCAGCGGCTCGCCCTTCTCCTTCACTTCCCCGATACTCGCGTCAATGGATTTCCTCTGATACCGCTACCCGCTCCGTCGATGATTCGAGTCACGAAACACATTTCGTGGTGGCAGAACATAGTTCTCCGTCCAGCAAAGGGAATGGGGTTGGCTCCGATAGCTCCAATGGAAGCGTTGGGGAGACCTCCGGCCCGAAACAGTCCGGTTCCTCTGCCCGGATCAAGAATGGCACTTCGAAAAACCTACTATCTCCCCAAAGATTGGCAAGGTTGAAGAATATACAGAAGAGTCGTCAGCATAACAAATCCCCGGGTGATCCACCTTCGCCCCTCACAAAGAAGCAAAGCCTTGCACGAAACTTGTCAGCCCAGGACAGCCAGAAGCTACGATATCGTGAATTCCAGAGGGAGAAGTATCGGAAGAATGAAAAGCATTATGTGGACAAAGCTTGGTTTGACACGAAAGACGTGTTGGAGAAAGTGCAGCAAGATACCCGGAAGAAAACCAAGCGTCGAACAAGGCAGAAGGAAATACTCGTTGCAGAGGATACCCTTGGTATATTCTGCGGCGTGACTCGGTGGACACTGCAGGAGAATGTTTGGTATCTTTCAGTCCATAATGGATGCCGAGTACATTGCCTGTCTGTGAAAGAGAACAAGGGACTGTACCGTCGAGTGATTCTGTCTGGAACAGAGCATGTTTTGGAGCTTGTACAGGCGCGTATTGCCCGTGCACAGAGCCTTCAAACGAGTGGTGATCCTCTCGTTGATATTCAAAAACCATTGGCCCCCATGTGTATCTCGCAAAGTGCTATGGAGCGTTCAAACGTTCCTGTACCGAAAATCCGGGGGATCTGGTGTTTTGAAAAGCAGCCAGTGAACCGCAGGCATCTTGACGAGATTTTGATGTCTCATCCGGGCCTGACTTCGGTGAAAGAGTTTGTCGAGCAGGTTGAAGAGCTTACACTTTCAGGTGGGCCACAATTAGATCCAAAGGGCAGGCCTTTAAAGCCCACAGCACAGCCCGCTATCCCGCCCAAACAGATTGCTCAACGTCTTATGACTCTATTCCAGTCGGAGGAAAATTACAAGCATATCTCCACCGCGGCTTTGAATGGCGCGTTGGTTTATCTATGTGACCATGAACTTCCTGGCTATGCTCGAGACTTGTGTTCGCATGCAGAGCATGTGGCCACGATTGATACGTTTAATATTTTGTTGAAATACGCTGCGCGGTCTCAAGATGTGGCAATGTTTCGTCAATTTGCACGGGCTATGCCTCGAGTCCATGTCTGTCCGAATCCAGATACATGGCTTGCCTTGCTCAGTGCTCTTGTGACCCCCACGGAAAAAGCCGACCTCATTCAGCATATGGTTCATCGTGGTTACATGTCCAGTACTGCAACTATTCGGAGCGCATTACAGCATACGATCCAGGATTCACTTGTGACTCATCTGGACAGCGGGAAAGACATTGAATCTTTCCTTGATCTTATGATTCATACCTACGGGGCCAATTGGTTCAGTCATTCCACGCTCGGTCAGATGTTCGAGGTGGTGGCTCGGTTGAAAGACTGGGATTCTTTGAGTCGGCTTATACAACTTTGCATCGAACAGAACGTGTTCATGCCCGAGTATACCCTTGTCAACATGTTGAAAGCGCGCCGCCGCGACACATTTGGCGCTGTACAATATTTCTTCCGATTTCTTGAATTGCCAGGGTTCCGACCTTCGTCGCAAGCCTTGGAGGCTTTGTTCTTGTCTGCTTTCAAGAACCGCCACTTCAACATCTGCCGCGTTATTTGGCGGTATGCGTGCATGTGGAAGCGCGTGACATACAAAATGCACCAATGTGTCCTGACATCCCTGTGTCGCAGTGTGCCTTTCCAAAAGGGACCCGAGACCGTCCAGATCTGGAGCACTGATGCCGGCAAAGTCATTGTCGGTCTCGATCTACACCATGCAAGTTACCCGGTCAAGGACTCCATCCTCAGCGACATCCCCTCCGAATTCCACCAGAACCCTCTTGCCTACCTTTCTAAATGGAAACCCGTCGGCGAAGAACGAGATCGCCAGCTCCGCCTTGCCAAGGCCCTCGTTGACCGAGACATGGAGCTTGGTGCCAACTCCTATTACCCCAAGAACCCTCTGCCACTTATGTTGGACGCAGCAGCCATCTTAGATCATGAGTGGCGTGGTATACCCCGGCCCTTGGCGTGGACGATGCAAAATGCCATCCAGATCCCCGTCGGTCTCAAATCCGAAAGAAACTGAGAAAAAGACCAAGCTACTTAACGCCTCAACTACCCCATCTTTCTTGCATCTGTGCATCATCCAATATCCCTCTTTGTTCAACGCTAGCGTGTTGCCTGCATATACCATCCGGCGGACTTGTTTTGACCATTGTTTGTCCACCTTCATGCCACCACCTTGTATTCTACACATCTCTTGTATATTATTTAGAAACATAGAATCATGGGCCTGTGATATATAGACAGCTGTCTCTTCTCCAATTTTATCTAATCATGATATAACACAATATTTCAACGCCTATATGAATCCCATCAAAATCTAAGTAACGCATCAAGATCATCCATAAAAACACGCTCGTCTGAATCATGTCCACTCCGGACTCTCACTTCTCCCACCGAAGAAAGATTCTCATGCACGAAGCCAGTTCTGCAAGCTGCCAATACCGACCCGGAATCTGTTCTCCCCTCCGACGACGGAAATTGCGACGCAGACTGAGATGCCGGTATACTGATACCCTTAATGCATACCTCATTGGCAGAAGTATCATCGGAAATATCCCGTCGAGAGCTATCCCCAGACCCTAGCTCAAGTGAAGCGTTTTGGTTCCTCACAATACCACTATCATCTCTCTCATCTTCTCCAACCCTTTCATCCGCTACAGCGGAATCCTGCAAATCGCCACTCTCTTCCTCTGCATAATCCTCTTCACTTTCGGGCGAAGGGGGAGCCAATAATCGGCGCACCTCGGAGAACATCGAAAACGCCGCACTCCAGCGTGGAATTTCATGGTCGATTCCTTTAGGGATTGGTAAAATGTTCCCATTGTGATCATCATCGGAGATAGCATCGTTATCATTATCATTATCATTATTGGAGGTTAGATTGTGGTTGCGGTTGTCATTGGGGATTTGGTGGCGAGTACGTCTAAGATGCCGAGGTTAATTGTTAGTTACGCCTTTCCCTCTCGCAAACGAAGAGATATCACAGAATTGACTGATACCTTTCAATTGGATCTCTCGATATGCAAATTTGACCCTCTTTGCGACAGTGCGTACACTGGTAATAGGGCGGACTGATGTCGCATCGTTTCTTGCGTGCGTGGCAGGCAGCACAGGCTGATTTTCCTGGTCGGCGGCCTTGTCTTTTGCTTGCTTTTATTATGCCTGGAGTTTGTAGTTGGTGAAGGGCTGAGAAATCCATTATGGGTGGAGTTGGTAGGGGAGGAAATCTGTTGTATTTAGATATTTAAAGGGGAGAAACGAAGTCCGAAACCCGGGGGAAAGGAAGATCATTAAACCACATTGAATTTTAATCCTCAGGGTCCAGCCTGGAACACGGCATAACAGTTAATGTTAATGTTATAAACATGTGGGACTATCCGGATATCCGGCAACTTTGTTTAAAAAGGATCCTGGCTTTGGGGGGAATGATTGAAATGCGGTTACGTCGTATATTTAGTATAACAAGATCAAACTGAAATCAAAATCAAAGTCAAATGGGTATCGCTCGTGCCTCATCGTATATGGAAGATGCCAAATGCCTTTCCCTCGACTTCGCTGTAATGAGCAAGCCAGATAATATAGAAAGATGAAACGGGAAAACTCTATGTGCCAAATGCCAACATGCTATATAACCAAACATGATGTGCTGAATGCACATTGGCATTCACTCTTGTCGGAGGTCTCTCTCAGACCATTTATCCAGGATCTTGGAAATTTTCTTGAAAGTGACTGGTTTTGTCAGGAACAAGTCCATGCCTGAGTTTAGAGCCTCGAATTCATGATTTGAACCGCTAAGTCCTGTCAGTGCAATGATGACGGACGGGTTGGAGTCCTGGCCGCGGAGTTTTTCGAGGGCTCGGATGGATCGAGTGGCGTCGAAGCCGTTCATGACGGGCATGGAGATATCTGATTTCTTGATTAGTATGTACGTTTGACATTTGCGAGGAGGATAGGTGCATAGCGTACCCATGAATATAATATCATAGCCCGGTTGCAGTTGTTCCACTGCATCCACTGCCAGCTGTCCATTCTCGGCTGAGTGGAGAGTGTCCAGCTTTCGCTTTTTTAGGAAAGCGAGCATTAGGTTTAGGTTGGTTTTGTTATCTTCAACTACCAAGATTCGAGGCTTTCGAGGTCCTGTTGTAGGTTCGGCATTCTCGGTGTTTTCGGGTGTAGAGGGCAGAAAAGTAGCATGTGAGGGTTGAGAGGTGGGAGGAATGTGGTCTGTGGTTGACCTTTGTGTATCATCGACATGAGGAATTGGTTGATCTGAAGAAGCGTCTGTTGGCCGCGTGGGTGGGAATTTTCGGTCTTGTTCAGGCAAGACTACTGACTCTGCAGCTGGTAAAGAGAAGGCTTGGTCGAAACATTTGTGAATGAATCGTGAGAGCTTGTGTGGACCATACGGACGACTGACAATGGTCAGAGCATTTGCGGAAGACCATTCAGGTTGGGCAGTATTGTGATCCACAAACTTGCGACTCAGCACAAGCACAGCTTGATTTGAGTCTGAATCCCAGCTGATGTCCTTTTTCAGTGGAAGTTCACTGGCCAATATGACATCAATGGGCGCTTTGGATGAAGACGAGACCAGCTTGAGGCCGTACCAGTCAGTCAAGTAACGAGAGAATGCTCCCCATTGCGGATGAGTGGAAGCGTTCTCAGGCTCCACGCCCATGATGGCAATGGTTCGGCCAGCATGGGCGTCTCGCAAGAGGCGCACTTCGGATGATAGGGGTTCGGTGTCCACTTCCAGCGGAGGTGATGGCAGGGCACTGGAGGTGCCATTGAAGCTGGGGTCTCGGCGTGTTAGTGGGAGAGTCACCTTGACGGTTGTTCCTTCGCCCGGACGACTGTCGATATTAATATTTCCACCTAGGGATTTGACAAGGCCGTGGACAATCGAGAGGCCCAGCCCGGTTCCAACAGCCAGACTGTTCTCCTGAGCAAAAGGGATGAATAGTCTGCTTCGTAGGAACTCTTCTGATATTCCCCTACCAGTGTCAGAGACTGTCAGAGTAATGATATCTTCTTTAGAGCCATGCTGTTGAGACCAATTCTCCGGGGCTTCCTTCGCCTCCAAACGAAGCGAAACGCGTCCCGAATCGGTATATTTGACTGCATTGCTGAAGATGTTCATAATGATGCGACGCAGAGCACCAGGAGGCGTATAATAAACCCAATCATTTTGAGCAATGTCCATATCCACATCCACGTGCAGCTGAGGGAAATCAAAGCTCTGTAGGCTGCCTTCGTTGCATAGAGGCGTGCCAACTGTGGTAGAAGAGGATGCTGGTCGTTGGTTGTATGAATGGCCCAGACAAACACCTTCGACAACTTCCTCGGCGAGAAGGGAGAGATCAGTAGGCATGTATGCATCTAGTTGTGAGGCAGGGCGTTGCATGCTCATAAGATCCACGCTAGAAGCCCTGTTTCTTTTCAAGGGGCGAAGATCCTTTTCCAGGGAAACGAGCTTAGTATAATCCAAGACTTGGTTCACCGTATCAAGCAGCGTTCGCCCACATGCATTGATAGTCCCCAGAAGAGAGCCTTGGAAGTCATCAAACTTCGTGCCATGTAGTAATTCTGCTGCTGCGAGAATTCCATGGAGAGGGCTGCGTAGTTCGTGCGACACACTTCCAAGGAAGTCTGCCTTTTGGCGATCTGAGATTTTAGCCTCGATCCGGTTGCATTCGGCCATAATAGAAGACCCAAATCCAAGCAAAGAGCTTAGTTCCACCTGTTGATCAAAAACAACATCCTCAACATTGTTCCAGCAGAAGCAGCCACCAAACCATTGGGAATTGGTAGTATTCCACAAAGGAACGAACATAACCTGAGTGGCTCCTGGGAAATATTGATTGAGCAAGTTGTTCTCGATGGTTTTCCACTTCTTCGCACGTTTCGACCTTGTGCATCGAGGTCTTTCCCCAGCACAGCTTTTGCGCGAGGAATTGGTAGGTTCGTCACTGTCAGAACTGGAGAGTAGGCCATCCCGGTGGAATGACCAGATCTTTCCCTGCCCATAACGACAGAGCAAGCCATGAAGAAAACCGTCGTCTATTCCAGAAACTGGGAGTTGTGTAATAGAGCCTGTTTCCGGACCCAATTGGGCATCGCCAGCAGAGATACCCAAAACAGTGGCGGATTTTTTGTTGTCCAGAGAATCTGAGAGTTCACTTCTTGCGTAGAAATCGAACATGGTATCGTTTCCACCTTCGACGAAGACCACACCACCCTGGCCTTCTAGCTCTAAACTTTCTCGGATCAGATTTGCTGCTCGCTGGAAAGTCCAGGCGGTTCCTTGATATTCATCATCTTCATTCTGCATATTGCCAGATCGCAAACCAGGAAGATGCGAGCCAACACTAGAGGCTCTAGAATGATCGGTATTGATATCTGACAATGGACTGACGGAACGAGCATCGCTGCCCCGAGAACGAGATCTTCGGGGGGAATATTGATGATTGGAAATGGAGAGACGACTTGATCTTGTTTTCGAAGATGGACGCGAGTTTTGTTGCGGGTTTGGGATATGCATAATTGGATCTTCAGAGGAATCTGTGAACCTCGATCTGCCCTCGACGAAGCAGCTCAGACCTCGAGATAGCCTGGCTGCACGCCGACCCTCTGAAGCTTGCCGGCTCACCCTGAGAAAGTCCATGATGAGCATTCCCATGGTGCCCATGGTCTCTTTCTCTGACTGGGTGAATTCGACATGAGGCTTTGTATCGAGGACAAAGAAACAGCCAACATTAATATTGCTGTCTGTTGTGAGAGGCGTGCCTGCATAGAATCGAAAATTTGGCTTCTTTTGCACGAAAGAGAGGTTTTTATAACGTTCATCTTTCCTCATGTCGTTGGAAATAACAAAGTTATACTCGCCCTGTTCTCGTTTGGATTGAGGAAGGGCAATAGTGTCCTATTGTTAGCGTTAACACTATAGTTAGTTCAATGGACCGGAGTTGCTGGGAGAAAAGCTACCTACCTGACATGGTGTCCACGAACTAACATCGAGCGTGGAACTGCCCGTATAGACCCCATCGCCTAGGCGATCATATTTATTGTTATCTTTGGTCTTTTGGGCAGCTTGTGCGATAATAAACTGAGACTGACGATCTGACACACTAATGGTAAAAACGAACTTGGTGAGCATGCTGGAGCCACTCGCCCGACTATTATTGACTTACCTGATAAACACGCGATCCACATTCAAGCGTAACGCGGCTAATTGCGCAAATAAATGCAGTGTTTCATTGGAGTCACCTAAGACTAAGGAATTTGGTACTGGGGCTAAAGGTGCACCCCATGATGCTTGCGAGCCAGATCGTGAGCTGCTTAGAGATTGCGAGATGGATGCCGGGCGACTTGATATAGAGGAACCCTGCCGAGCTGACGGATCCAGCAGGACTGTCTCGTCACTGGTGAGTGACTGATTCTCATCTATTGGGGCCAATCGCTCCGGTCGAAAATAACGATATACCTCGCGGGCCCGACGGCCCGCATTGTGGTCATCGTCCTTGGGCAATGGCTCCATGGTGTTTGCCTAGCTTCTTTTGAGGAAAGAAAATAAGGCCATTTATGTTTTGTGGAAGCCACTGTATTTGACCGTGTCAAAAGAGGGTAAAGTGGGGGAGTAATTAGGACAAATGTGTGACAGCGGAGGAAAGCATTGGTATAAAAGGAGGACTGAAAAAGCCACGGGAGCAAATTCCACCTCACTATGGAACGGCTGATAACCTAAATAACATAGATTAAACAGAGACAGTGTGACAAAGCATCGGAAAGGGCTGTGGCAACAGGAAGGTAATCCGCAAATAAGCTGAAAGGTCCCGGGGCCTGGGGGGATTATGATGAAACCATGGCACGTAAGATCGGCCCGTGGCATAGGCGGAAGTCTGGTGGAGATTGAAGTTGTATACTTTATGCTGTTGCGCGATTGGTTGCCAGAATGTTCAGGCAAGTTCTGGTCCGCCGGTCCGGCCTCCCGCCAATCAGAGGCCACAAGTTCGATCTATAGGAAAAGCCAATAAGGGTTTCCTCTGGAAACATGGCCCTGACCCAACCATCGAGCTTTTCTTCTCTGTATGTATGGCCGATCGGGATTCTCCTGAAATTGCCAGATCTGGAGGGCGTGCAGTCCCGCCAGTAAACATGTTCCGCAGCACTTCATAATGAAAATCTCGATAGAATAGCCATGGATCAATAAATATGACGGAACCCTGCCGTTTCCGCCCTACTGTGCCTTTGTCGTCATACTACATTGCTAGGACCCATAGTGTCGGGAATCATGCCGTTCATTGAGTGGTGAAGGCGGCTTCGGTAGGTGATATCGTTCGAAGATTCTAGAATGATCGGGTAGCCCTAGCTTAAGTATGCATTCGGCGTTCAAAGTACAGTATCGACTAAACCGAGAACAACCTAGAATGTCTTTTATACACATGTTGGCTCTGTTCCTCGCATCGTCCGGCTCCAGCCGAAGTATGACCGAGGCTTACCTTACCGACACCACTGCAGTATAAACCATAGGTCAAAAGGGAAAACCTCGGTATGGTCCTGATACGGCTGAGAGAAGTACACAATTGTTATTTGACTTACTCTGGGCCAGTTACAGTTTAATGTGCGAAGATTCCCTCTATAAGAATCACCAGGACGCCAGATCCAGTGGGGTAGGTATATCTATTTTGGTCATTTCCCATAATTATCATGACATGCCATGCGAGAACACGCTTGAAAGAGCACAAATGGAGCTGTACAGCATAGCCCACCATTATCAAATCAACGAGCCCATGTTGGAATAAGGATGCCCCATGCACGCGTCTGGTATACTAGGAACCGGTGGCGGGGGGCCGTAGGGATCAACAAGGGCCGTTCGAATCGCACCCACGCCTTCCTTCAGGTAAAGCACGAGACGATATGCTGAGTTGCCGTTTAAGTAGTATCGGTGTAGCTGCTTGCTACGAAGGAAGCCCAGTCGCTCGTATAGCTTCATGGCGGCGGTGTTGGTGATTTCGGTTTCGAGAACGATCTGCTCGTGATACCCCGATTAGCTCCAAATCATCGACGCCCAGCTAAAAACTGCCTCCAGTGTATTGTACGTACCTCGTCTGCATCCCGCTCGATCATCGCATCGATGGCCATGCGTACCAGCTTGGTTGCAATTCCCCGGCCCCGGTACTCCTCGCGCACGGCCAGCATGGCGATATACCCTCTCATCGGGCCGTCGCGGTGCGGTTCCAGCTTCGATACCACGACTCCAACCATCTCGTTCTTATCGTCCATCGCGAGGAAGCACAGGTCGCCCCATTGGTAGAGGAAGTAGCGGTAGACGTAGATGCTGTAAGGCTCGGACAGATCCTTGGAGATCAGTTGGCGCATCGCGGGGACGAACTCATTTTCGCGAGAGTTATCGTACCGCACGTAGTGGAGATCGGAGGGCGCATTCATCACGGAGATGGTGAGAAATGGAGGTGGTCGGAGGTTGGGATGCAAAGTTACGCAACTGCCATGTGATGCCGATCCGTCCGTTAACGTTAACGGCTGTGCACATGTTTTTGCTTTACATTTCTCTTCTTTCGCTACTTCTGTTGGTTTTATTTTCCATCTTAAGGTCCTAGGCAATTGCTCTGGGTCTTTACTCCCCTCCTCTCTCCTTCCTCGCGGTTGGTCGCTATGCTCCGCCGCCGCACGGGCAAGGACAAGGTCCCGCAACCCGACTCCCTCGTCTCCGGCTCAAACTCTGAGGAAGCACGGCTTCGCGCGGAGTTTGGTGATGCAAAGGTTAAGCAGCTGATCCTCAAGCCTCGGAGCAAACGTCGCAATGGGTTCATCTTCGTGCTGGGCGGACTGTTCGGCATCTTTATCGCCTTGTTCTTTGCGAACCAGTCGGAGGTTATTAGTCTGGACTCGCTCATGGACTTGAACTTGGAATCTTTGATGGACGCCATTCCGCAAGGTATTGTAAGCGACGTGAGGCAGTTCTCAGTAAGTGACCCCGAGAGAGCAGCTCTCTTATCTCTACGCTACGTTCATGTAACTGACGACCTTGGGGCCACAGCAGCACGAACGCGCTACCGTCAGCTATGATTCCTTCTCTGTGGGACTACACCTTCAATCCCAGGGCGTCCAAGCCAAACATCCCGTTGTTATGATACCCGGCGTTATCTCGACTGGTCTAGAGAGCTGGGGCACGGGCGAGAACTCGCGCCAATACTTCCGCCGACGATTATGGGGCAGCTGGAGCATGATGAGAGCGCTGGTTATGGATAAAGCTGAATGGAAGAACCACGTCATGTTGGACCGGGAGACAGGCCTCGACCCGCCTGGCATCAAGCTGCGCGCGGCGCAGGGATTCGATGCGACGGATTTCTTCATCACTGGATATTGGATTTGGAACAAGATTTTGGAGAACCTGGCTACTATTGGCTATGATCCTACCAATGCCTTTACGGCTGCCTACGACTGGCGGTTGTCATACCTGAACCTCGAAGTTCGCGATAAGTATTTCACTCGGCTCAAGTCTTACATTGAGACCGCAGTGCAGGTACAGGGTGAGAAGATCACCCTGGCGTCGCACAGCATGGGTTCGCAAGTGGTGCTATATTTCTTCAAGTGGGTGGAAAGCGAGGAACACGGCAAGGGCGGCAAAGACTGGGTCAACAAGCACATCGACTCATGGGTCAACATCAGCGGCTGTATGCTAGGCGCCGTCAAGGGATTAACAGCCGTACTATCTGGCGAGATGCGGGATACCGCGCAACTCAACGCCTTCGCCGTGTATGGATTAGAGAAGTTCCTATCCAAGGAGGAGCGAGCAGAGATCTTCCGCGCCATGCCGGGAATCTCCAGCATGCTACCCAAGGGCGGCGAAGCCGTCTGGGGAAATGCTACCTGGGCACCGGATGATCAGCCCGGTCAGACTTTGTCCTTTGGCAACCTGCTCAACTTCCACGAGACCAACTCGTCCTGGACGAAACGCAATCTCACCACCACAGAGAGTCTGCAGTACCTCCTGGACCAGAGTGAGGACTGGTACCGCAACCAGGTACTGGGCAGCTACTCGCACGGTGTAGCACACACACGGCGTGAAGTTGAAGCCAACGAGAAAGATCCTCGCACATGGCTCAATCCTCTCGAGTCACGTCTACCATATGCCCCCGATATGAAGATCTACTGTTTCTACGGCGTGGGGAAACCCACAGAGCGCAGCTACTTCTATCAAGAAGAGACTGACCCTCTGGTTAACCTTAACGTCAGTATGGATACTACCATCACCAACGGCGATGGTGTCGACCGCGGCGTTCTTATGGGCGAGGGTGACGGCACCGTCAACCTGCTCAGCACAGGGTATATGTGCGCCAAGGGCTGGCGCATGAAGCGGTATAACCCGGCCGGTACAAAGATCAAGGTCTTTGAGATGCCGCACGAACCAGATCGGTTCTCGCCCCGAGGTGGACCTAACACCGGTATGTTCTTCTTATGATGCTCCAATCTCTGAAACAGAATAGACAACTGACTTGACACAGGTGACCATGTCGATATCCTCGGCCGCGCATCACTGAACGACCTCCTCCTCCGCGTCGCCGGCGGCAAAGGCGACCTAATCGAAGAGACATTCGTCTCGAATATCCGCGAATACGCAGATCGTGTACAGATCTTTGACGATTAATACCTCTCCCCCTCAAACGTTTACGGAAACCCCTTATGTACGGCCAATGTTGATTTACTATTTTTCTTTTTTTCTCCCCTTCTGGCTCATGTTTGATACACACATCTGTTATTAGACACTCCCGAGGATATTCTACAATAGACGGGTCTCCTGTTACTGTATGGCACTTTTGTATATTCCCACTTACCCTACGATCATCTTACAACGGGAAAAAGCGAGTGTAGGAACTATATTTCCTCAGAATTCTAGTGATACTGTAACTTATTTCGTGAAGAAACCAAGAACCCCCCATTCCCATTCCTATTTCTATTACTTCCAGTCCGGTAACTACATTTACAGTAACTAACTTACAGTCAAAGCCCACACCAAAACCAGCCTGCAGCTTTATGCAGATGCATAGATCCATTCGAGTCCCGTGCATAAGGGGATAAAGGGGTGGACACGGGGCATCGGATCCAGCCACTTTCCTTCTTCCGCGATGGGTCCGTTATGCATTCTAACTAATAGTGTCACGAGTTGGAGCTGTAAGGGAGGAAGATTGCTGCAAGGATCAGACCTGTACTCCGTATTGTGGTATTACTGCTGCATGTTTTTTCTTTCTTTCCGTCTGTGCTGATCGACGGTGCTCATCACACTTTCTGACAGGCGGGGTTGCTGATCATTTTTTGTTTATTAACTTACTTGTTTAAGGTGAACTTTTGTTTCTCCTATCCAGCATGCATGCAGGATATGGACCGTGGTATGATGTTATGTATGATGTTATCAGGAATCCAGGATACAGTGGTTCCACTCGTGTTGGGATGTAAACCTGATATAGGGGGTTGGTTGGTTCGTGCTCGTATAGTTCACATCCAATAAATCTGTTCCTATTCCGCCAATCAAACATGTTTACCCGAGTTCGAAGGTAAGAAATTAAGTTAACTTACCGAGTGAAGAAACATGTGACGCTGTTAATTATAATATACATGTAACGTTGTTACAAGAAGGAAGAACCGAATAATGTACAATAATTCATTAACTCGTACGCCACGGATTAAGGATAATGCTAAAGATATCCAACATCTCATCGTCCAAACTAACGATAAGAGGCATGCACACAACCGCTTTCAGCCCGAACAGAGTCCAGTCGAAGTTTATAAGATAGTCGCAGGTGTACACGCATTAGGAAGTCGGATTAGCTTCATCCTCGATAGCCAGAAGCGAAGAGAATCGGCAAGCTTCAAGGGACAAGAAGGAAAAAGGCCTCCGTCAAAAAACCTTTTCCTTCCAAGCCCAGCTGCCATGGCCACTTGAGTCGTGAAAGAACAAGCTTCCAGCACTCAATCGACACCACCCCCCCCAATCTCCTCCTCATTCCTTTCCTAGGATCATTCCTGTCGATTTCAAATCCACAGGAAGAACCAGCACGATGTCAACGCCGAATTACCACCTGCCAGTGGCGGAGACACAAAACGAAGGGCAGACCAAGTGTGACGATCTCTTTGCAGAAGCCCTTCTCTCTCTTCTTTGTGCCGATGCAAAATGTCGTAAATAGCCAATATCCAATGACCTTCTAAACGCACAGCGAGTGTAGTGCAAGCGAAAGGCGCCGAAACCTTTTATCTCTCCAAAACAGATCCAAAGTTCCCAGGCGCCAAGTATGAGCGATCGACACGAATGATAATAATAATTTTTGTGCAATCTGGACGAGCCTGAAGCGAAGAAAAAGGGCGGCTTGTCCAGTTCATAAAGTCGTAACGAAAGACATGGGTCAGAAGCAAAATGGGATCGCCCAGGGGCGTCCCGGTGTGTACAAGCGAAGGTTGTCCACGGTGGTGGTGCGGGGGATTGGCGATCGCAGGCAGGTGGACAAGGCCCGATCCCTTCCACCACCGGTATTAATATTATAGACGGAGTTGCCATCCCGAACGTGGGGTGGCGAGGCATGTACAGCCAGAGGGTAAAAAAGCACCTTCGGCTCAAAGCGGAAAACCGCGCGAACCGGAGGTTTTCGAACAGATTAAAAATCTTAGGGTGTCGAAATGGCTCGATGCAGAAAATGTTCCCAAAACATTGTCGTCAAACATAACGCCGATTCAAAAATGATAGATGCATTCAATGGACAGTGAAGGTATGTGCAAGCAAAGCTGAGTAGCTTATCGTCCCGCCTCGATGTCGTGATTCGAGGTCAGGGTCTCGCTTTCCCATGTATAATGGTCGTCCACGGGACTCAAAGAGCCGGAAGAGATGGAAGAGGAAGATCCAACGGTCCACTCATCACTATCCAGGTTGAAGTCGCCATCCAAGCTGGCGAGGTCGTACCCGAAATCGCGGGAGTTGTCGCCGATCTCAACATAGTCGTAGTCCCAGCGGAACATCTTGTCGGATTGGACTCGGGGCATAAATCTGGTCTTGGTGAAGTAGAAGGCGACCGTGGCCAACAGACCTCCGCAGACGAGGTCGACTGCGTAGTGGTGCGATAGGTACATGGTAGCCCACCACATCCACAGGGTGTAGGTAACCCAGAGGGGCTTCAGGCGGGGAAAGACGTGGCTCATAAACAGAGCGGCCAAAGTCGAGTCCGCGGCATGGAGCGAAGGGAATGCACCAAACACAACTGGGGACTGCTTGAAACCCGAGGTGTACAAGTCAATACCGAGAAGCTTGTCAATGCGAGCAAGTCCAGCGGGGTTGCCCTGCATGGAGTAATCGGCGGGCGCAAGACCGTATAGGTTCTCATACCACGGGGGCGAGCAAGGGAAAACCAGCTGGATGGTGACAGCTAGCATGCTGATGTAGC